TCGTGATACATATTGATATTGAATTATTGTCCAGCCCTAACTGAGAAGCAAATGAACAATGACTGTACCGTTGGGGAAGGCAAGAACACTGATAACAAGAAAGAAAGAGCCAACCAGCAGTAGACCCACACGCAGGTTATTATCAGAATCACCATCATCCCTGCCAAAAATGAAAACATGAGGTACAGATAACATATCAGAACCATGACTACATCACAGAACTGTAACCTTTCACAATGTCACCAGATTTTTGGGGTGTTAGTTTTTATTATTTATATTTTGCATTTTCGTTTTAGTAGCTAATTTTGTTGTTTTTTGTCATTTTTATTAGTTTGTGTGTTTTTTTTAAATATGATATAGTTTTTTTATTTTAGTTTTTGCTTTTTTTTCAGTAAATAAAGTTGAAATTAATAAAAATCAGAAATGTTGCCTTGCTCTTGACAACTAGTTTTTTTTATTTCAATAAACTATTTTTATGGTTTTAGTTAACTATAAGTGAATATATCACATTAACAGTCATTATGTCATTCAAAAATACATTGAACGTTTTAAAATAGTATTATCAATATAATAAAAAATTTAAAGTTGTCCCCCCAGGTTGTGTATAAACACTGTTACCATAAGTCGAAGTGGCATTGAAAAACTTGTTTTATTTGTTTGTTTTGTTTTTCAAATAATTTAAAGCAGTTGCTAACCTGATCTGCGTTGGCAACATTGTAACAAAACATCTTCATTCCATTTAAACTATTTAAGCTGAAATTCAATAAAGTAGTCGGCTTGACTGAATGCTCTGTCACGCGCTCTGAGTTGCGGTTGCCATGATGACAGGTGTGTCCTGCCGTAAACCTGCTGTTTACTTACCTCGTAAACGCAAAGTACATTATGCTGACGACGGTGAACGTCAGTAACGTAATGGTATGCGGTTTGTAGAAGAAATCAATGGTGATATCCTCCACTTGTTGCTCGTTTATCATCCGAAAGTGAAGTTTATCATTCGCATCATCTTTACTGAGCATCCTGGAACCCTGACTGGGCGCCATGGTTGGTCTCATCCACACTGACAACGGGTCCAGAAGACACTCCACTCCACCAGCGCCGAGTTTCTTTGACAGAAGTTACAGAACTTTACTGAAGTTGAGTGGGTCGAGATGTTCTCACCGCCCTATTTCAGGCGACTTCATTGGCTGGGTAAAGGCAGGAGGTTATAAGAGCTTCTCCCATTTGCAGGGCTCTGTTTCAGGCGGGGTCGTTCAGGGTTCGTGGGTGTTGACTGGAAGAAAGATGAGCTATACTACCATCTTCTGGTCTGAATGTGCGCTCGCGAGAAGCGAAGTTCACGTTGGAAATGTTCTCTGTTGTTCTTCATCTAATTCAGTCCGATCTAAAATCAGTTTAATCTAATCTGAATCTAAAGCCTTTCTTTCTTTCTTTCTTTCAATTTAATGGTTAGGGCTACAGTCATATTTTACTCTGCATAATAAATATGCAAGCTAACAGATCTGTTCCCCTTTTATTATTATTATTATTTAGATAATATATTTTGGGGGGAATTTTTAAGTAAGTAGTATTATATTTTTGCATATAATGTATGATATATGTATTTACACAATTTTCTTTGACAATAATATTTATATATATATATGAATAAATGGGGTTTTGTTTGTTTTTTCATCAAATCTAGATTTGATTTGCTACAATTTTATTACATCTTTGTATGAGTGTTGGCAAAAATCCACGTAGTCTGATTAGCCAGACCTATAATTGTGCCACTTGGTGGGCTGGGTATCTTTTACGGTTGTAGTTGAGGAAAGGTGTCTAGGTGACATATAATATGTTATTGAGATCTTTCAAGCCATGGCCAATTGTTTTATGACAGGTATGTCATTAAATGTAGCCAACACATCATCAGTAAATTTCCAATAAATGTAGCCAACACATGATAATTTGGAAGAAAGACATCAATTAGAGAAGACAAAAAAGAACATTAAAATAAACTTTATTTGTTGATTAAATTTATTCACAGCTTAAAGAACAGTTACGCATGCAGGATATGGCTCTACAAGTGTGATTTTGAAAAGGGTTCTGTGGGATAACTTTATGGTAACTTTATAGTGACATGTTTATTGTTCATGACCACGTGAAGGCCTAGCAATATAATGGGAAAAATTATCTGTGTAATAGTGGAAAACCTGAGCATGAATGGGTGATAAATCAGTCAGAGTCAGAGATTTAATGAGGCAAATAAAAACACTGCATGTGAGTTGCATGTCCATTGGGGTTATTATGGCCCATTATGTTGCACAATTACATCTAACTGGCTCCCAGGCCGCCTAAGGGATCCACAGAAAACTGACCATAGGGAAACTGATTAGGCTTAATATGTAAACAAATATTCTTTTTTTTAATCTCTGTGTTGGAAACATTTAACCACACAGAAACCTTACATTTTGCTACTTTTATATAGACAGATTTAATAATATTAATAATAAATAAATTAAATTAAAAGTTAGCTTGGTTGCCAATAGTAAGAAAACAGTGTTTGGTGTCAGTTTTTTTTTTTTTTTTATTCTAATGAAATAAACTAGTGACTAATTAAGTGAAATCTGTTGATGCCACTTTTATTCGAATAATAAATTACCAGTATAAACCCGTGTTTTATTATTGACTAGCGTAGAGCCAAGGCAACATAACAGGTTACGTGACCTCTGGAAAGGGGTCAGATTTATTGTAGCAACGAATCGTAGCAACACAGAGAGTCCATGACGACGATGGTTGCGAGATCTTAGATCATGTGTTGGAATGCGACAGTGTTTGAGAACTTTACACAGATCAAATAGTTCCGGAGCCGCATTGAAAGCTTGCGCTGTCCTGAGCGATAAACATGGGCTGTGGGAGCTCCAAAATCACGGTGGTTGAACCCGTAAAACCGAGCAGTCTGAACGGAAATGAGGTCAGCTGTAGTCTTTTTGTTATTCGATTTATAATTATTTAAAATATGAATTAAAAAACTGAATATTAGCGAGTCGGTAGTGGTTATAATATGTTGAAACATATGAGGAAACTGATGAAGATATCTGTTGTTCCCTCAACTGTGATATTTAATAGTCTATATTAGGTGAATTAGATGAATAATTAAACAAAACGAAATGCTTAAGCTGGTTTGCTGGTCTTAGCTGATTTCAACTGGTTTCCCATTCCCAGTTCCTTCAAAAACCAGCCAGCAGACCAGGTAAACTAGGTTAAGACACAATACAAGACTAGCAAACAATTTAGGCTGTCAGTGTTCTGTTATATGCAGACTTCTATCTGACTTACTTTGCTTTTATCTTGTAGACCGAAACTCTGGAGTTTGTTGTGGCTCAGGGAGGCTCTCGAGGTGACTCTGCAGTGTCCAAAATGACCACAGATAGCGGGGTCAGTCTGGATGCAGCAGAGCCATCGGTTCTACCTGGATCTGTACCTAGAGTCCTGCCACCGCTACAAGGTTAAATAGAAATTCTAGAACAGCTTGATGTTATTTCACTTTAAATGAACCAAAAACTGCTGACCAACTTTGAGTTATTTCAGAGGAAAGCTGAAATGGAATAAAAAATATAAAATAGAATGTAGGAAATTAACTAAATCTAATAGTTATTTTGACCTACATGTTGTGTGAAATCTAGCCCAGAGTCCTGGACTGGCCCAGCAAACTGAAGAGAGGCCTGAGTCCGGTGAGATCCTGGAGCAACTGCTTGTTCAAGGAATCATTCCAGCTCAACCAAGACAGGGAGGAAGTGGGGAAGCCTACAACATCATGGTGAGGGCTGAAAAGTGTAAATCTTGACATATAAAAAGTGTTAAATAATGCTGCCATAATTTCTAAAATATTACATTTTCTCGCATTAAACAACGCTCTAAGAAAAGTCTGTAAAAACAGGGCAGAGTGTTAATATGAAGGAATATTTCATTACTGAAATCATTACTGGAATAGTCTTTATTAATACAAGACTCTCTAAAATACTGGAATCTGATTGGTCAGTTGTGACTTTCTGCAGTCAAATCTTTTTGTGTAATGAGCTCTAAGCTGTGTATTTGACCATTGTTACTGGCAACCAACTCTTATACTAGTTCCATGTCTTATGTTTTTTCACAAAATGAAATAATTTTAACCTTTGAGGGATTATCAATAGACCTTTGAGGGAAAGACGTACAGTGTTTATTGGATTAAACTGATGTTTAACAACATACGGCTTGTTCAGATGACTGAACAACTGTTTTTCTGAAATAAATAAATAAATTTCAGTAGACAAAAACTTCATAAAAGAGTTTAGAAAGTTGTGAGTTGTGAAAAATACATGATCTAGGATGTTTATACAGTGTGTGCCATTGTAAATACTGTAAGTCTATCCCTCACAGCCTCATTTTCATCCATGTTAAATTTAATATGCCATCTAGCCTCATTAAGAACTACATATGACATATTTATTTACTTATTAGGTACACTGCCATGTAATATGTGTGATCATATATTTTAGCTGATAATTTTTCCAAAATAAACCGCTTGATACAAGACTTTGAAAAAATCTGTAATTGAACTTTCATATTGTGTGTGTATGCATAATAATTTCAACAAACATTTATAATGTCTGTTAGATGGATGATGTTGGGAAGCCAAGGAGAAGACCACCCGCTCGGCTAGAGTCACTGAAACTTTGCAAAGAACAAGAAGTCACCAGAAAGGAAGACATTGAGATGAAGATGAGACAAGTGGAGGAGAGGAGAAAGGTAAAGCAGAACCAAATGACATTTATCATTCATTCACTTTTAATGCATTTAAAATCTCTTAACTAATATTCAGCACACTGTATTTGATCTAATTGTTTGTTGAGCTGCAATTAGATTGTATTAGCATAAGTATGTGGCACAACGTTATGATATATGGCTAAAACATCTGTTTTAGGAGAAAGAGGAGGACCTGAAACACAGGTTGAGGATTAAATCAGCGCGGCCGCGTGTCGCTGCCCCAGTGACCGCAGAGGGGGAACTCGACCTCACGGAACTGCTCCATTCTGAACAGCTTCCTGTCCCAACCAGAACCAAACAGCTACAGACGCCAATCAATGGAGAGTCTGAGGACCAAAGGCTTACTGATTCCCCAGAACTGGAAAATGACTCCACCTTCCAACAGACTGAAGACACAGATGAGGGATTTTAGACCTGCTGCTTATGTGTGTTTCAGAATGACACATGTAGGATAACCTGCCTCCATACGTACAGAAGCAGCTTGATCTAGTGATGTTTCCTAATGTACATTCTTAGAGTTGCACATGCACTTTACATGTTATTCACGTTATTAATCTTGTTTATTTTAATACAGGGTATGGCTCAGATCAAATTCTGAGCTTGGATTTTACATTATTATATAGAAAAAGAAATGGAAATATGTGCCTAATAAGTGTAAACAGGTTGATGCAGTTATTATGTAGGTAGCAGAACAATGATTAGAAGGGTTAGCAATTCAGCATGATATATATGTATGAGTTAGTTGCCAATGAGATATTTCTTTCATAGTGCTCATATGTCTTGAATCTTAAGAACATTATTCTTGTAAGATATACACCATTCAAAAGTTTGAGGCAAGTAAGATTTTTTAAATGTTTTTGTATAAAAGTCTGTTGTGCTCACCAAGGCTGCATTTATTTGATAAAAAATACAGTAAA